CCAACACACACATACCCTCCCTGGCACTCAGCTCTTCCCCAGGCTCCTTCCCTACCTTTTCTCCCCTTCCCCCTTACCTGCAGTTCCAGTGCTGCTGGGGCAGCCACGTGGTCCGAGGCCAGACGCCCCAGCAGGGGCTTCTGGCTGGGGGGGAGGGGCCCGGCAGGCCCTGCTGTTGTGGGAGCCCGCCGGGCTTCCCCTGGGTCCTACTGCCCTTGGTTCCTGTCATTTTTGGTGTTTGATGGTTTCCTAAAACTTGCAGCTTCCTCTCACCTTGAACAAACAGACCCCAAAAAATTCCAGTCCTTTTCATGTTTCTGGTAGACTGGCAGAGAGGTTTGCCTTCACAACCCACTGCTCCCTTCCCTCAGGGACATCTCCCTGAGGCTTTGTCATTTGTGTGAGCTTGATGTATCCCATGTGTGCAAAACATTAGAGAACCTGGGGCTGCTGGAGGCATCTCAAAACACCACGTGAACATTTTGCACAGATCTCGTTATGATGCTGTTTTCTTAAATCTGGCTCTGAAGGCTGAAATTGTTGCTGCAGCTGGTGTCCTACAGGCCAGATTGCATTTGGCTCTGTCTAGGGGACATTTTAGGCATTTTAGTGTTGTTATATATGTTATTTATTTTTGCTTGACTTTTTTTTAGTTTCTTTAAAAAATATGCTCATAGCACGTTTTGATAATTATTTCAGGGCAGAAGGGGATATTGGTTATGTTGTAAGCTGGACAAAGTTAAGGAAGTCCCGGATAAGATCGTTCTTGTTCCAAATCAAAAATAATTTGGATCTGATGTTTATAACCACTCACTGCATCTCCTATTTTCCTGGGCAAACCCTTGCCCAACTGTGCCTCGCTGCAGTGCTGTTATGAAATGGTGCATGTGCTTAATTAGCCATACAGCTGTCCTGTTATGTATCTAAGTTTCAATAGAAAGGACTGGCCACTTTTTTCTAAATAATAAGCCCTTTTTATGATGACATGCAAGGCACCTGGGTAGGTATGAGGCATCTTCTTTCAAAATAATTGAAGTAACCTAGCTGAGTGCTGGCAGCATATGCCATAGGTGCAAGCAGATAGCCTCATCTGTCACCCCCGTTTGTGCCATTTTCCCACCAACTCAATGGCTGCTGGGGAACTTCCTTGCGTGCAGGTTCTTCTTTGGCTGCCACTCCGAGGTGGTTATGGGAGAGTATCGATGTTCCCCTTCCTGTCCCTGGCCTAGGTAAGCAGTGCTTCCCAATTACTCCCCTGCACTTTGAGCTGGTGTGGTGAGAGCTCTTCTGTATTCATGTCCCACAACTATTCCCTCTCCCCATGCCATGCCCGGCCCAACCTGCCTCTGAAATATGACAGGGTAGAAAGGTTCAGAACGTTCCTTTGCAAAATCCAGCATTTCTGGTGTAGGTTTTAATGACAAAACCATATATTTAGCTTTTGTGCAAGCAACAGCATGCCGACTATTCCTTCCTGGGCTGGGTGGCCATTATTTGTAACTAAGGCAGCTCTCCTGAAAATGGCACACAAGTATTTCATGTTTTCTGCGACAAGTCAAAATGTTGCGGATGGAATTCCCAGCATCCCCAAGGACAAGTTGACTATGTGTCATCACCGTGTGTTTTTTCTGCTGTGTCTTTTCAGATACGTTGCCCTGCCACTAGCCAAAGCTTTAGATATAAAGAATGTAAGACGGGTGAAGCCTCAGCCCAACTCTGTTTTAGAGGCTTATTTCCGAAGCTGCACAAGATGTCCATCCCAAGTAAGGATCCCATTTCTTTTTACTGGGGTTTGGGGGATTTGTAAAGTCCCAACTCAGTGTTTCAATCTGCTCTCCACGATGATGACATGGGATGGGTTCCAGGAGATGGACAAATGATTGAATACACTTTGAGTTATTTTGCTACCAGGCTGACAGGGTATATGATATTCAAAATACATATTTAATTTCTTGGCATGACATTCTAGGTCAGGTTGCCGGTGTTCTTTCCAGTGAATATCAGTGCTCAATCTTTAAGACACTCTAGTTGGAGAAAACACCAATGGACATCTGTTGGTTAAAAGAAATCTTATATTGTGTTTTTAAAGGAATAATATAAAAAATATTAAGCTGGAAACCTTCCAGTTGATTATATTATTACGTATGTAATCATGGGCTGTGCAGGGAACCAAAAAAAAAAATCTGTTGGCTTTTGAACAGGAACAAGAGAAAACAGGCCAAGATTTGCAAACTCAGAAAATGAATCTTTCTAATGGTGGGGGAGATGGTCTGCAGTGAGGGAAATGCTTGCTCTCCTCACTGCTAATGGTAAACAGCTCCACAGTCACTGGGTTGTTGCCTAAAAGGAAGATGCATCTCCTAGTTTAAAGTTAAGTTCAATAAAGTTCTGAGTCTCCCAAACCAAGGATACACTGTGGGCTACTCTCTCCTCCCACACATGTGGGACTTGCACTAACTGAAGCTCCTGGGGTCCAGAGCACTTGTCCTGATGGTTCACCCCCAAAACTGGCCCTGAGTTGGAGCCAAAGACTGTTAATTGGGGTGTCTGATTTTTTTTTCTTTTTTTTTTTTTCTATTCCTGATTCTGCCACAAGCTCATTTTATCTTTGGCCTGCTATCAGTAAAGATAGGCATATTCATCTGTATGGATTTCTCTTTTCTGCAAGTGTCCTTATTTCTCTGTTGCTTTTCCTTCTGTGTACACATGGAGATATCAAGTGAGATGCCCCTTATCACGCCACAGTTTGGTGCAGCTCTCAAATGGAACTCGGATCTCCTGATTTCCATGCCAAAGCTTTACCCACAAGGCTGGCTCCCCTCACTTTATGAAAGGGTATAATAAACTCTTGTTAGCTAAAGCTGCTTTGGGTACATCTCCATTATACCCCTGGTCCTGGTGGCATGGGCAGCTCTCAAGTATGCTCTGCCTACCCACTCTTTATTGCTTTTCTGTTGCATGTCACACTTCTGGGTTTGGTGCATGAGAACAAGGGTGGGTGAGTGGGGCTGCTGTGTGGACATCCCGTCTGTGTCTCCCAGAATGCCAGGGAGTGGTTTACATGGTGCCACAGCAACTCATCTCTTTCTTGTCAGCAGTAAATGCTGCAGAGTTGAAAAACGAATGATAATGTCAAGAGTCTTCAGAAACCACCACAAAGATAATAGCACAATTTCACCCTTGCGTCATTTTACATCAACATATTTGCAGCATAAAATTGTACAGCAGATCTTTGAAGGGAAACCCTTGCGTTCTTTTTTTATGTTGAATAAATGAGGGGCAGCCTCTGTGAATGATGAAAGCTTTCTTCGAGAATTAAGCGTACAAGTTGGTGCCTGTAGACGGATTGCTTTATTTTTTTTTTCTTGCCAACACAGAGCTTATTTCAGGAAGTTGTTCTGTAGCACGCTAAGTCAAGGAGCCGGTATCTGATGTTCATGTTGCTCCTGATTGCTGACTCACTCCTCTCCTCTTGCAGTCAGAGATGCTGCGCCTGGCCAAAAAGTGTAATTGGACGGTTCACCTGGTACAAAAGTGGTTCAAGAGACGGCGAAATCTTGAAATCCCAATGACGCTGCAAAAATTTAAGGAGTCCTGGTAAGGAGGAAAAACTTTTGGTTCTTGTGGGGCCACATATTTCAAAAGTGATTGATGCTTCTGAGCACAACTTGGGACTCTCCTTAAAGGGATCCACTTTTTCAAAAGGCAGGTGCTTAGTGCTTCTTGCCTTCTTTAAGCAGTGACAAACTGACCACCTTAAATCCCTAACATGTTTCCAAAACATGATCTGAGCAGTTTGTGGAGATCTTTGGCAAGAGCTACAATAGTTTTCACATCTCGACCTCAGTGTACTCTTAAAAAATAAAAATAAAAGGAAAATGGACATTATTCTCCATCTTTTACAAATGGAGATGTGAGGTGACTTCAGGTCGCATGCCCGTTTGTTGACAGAACGTAAGAAATCACCATGCCTTTTATTTTGCATCACCCCAGGATTGTCCAGCGGTGTCTAATTTGGCATACTTTGTGGCAATTTAGTGAACAACTTACAGCAACATCATAATTAGCATTGTGCAAGTGTTATATAAAGCCCCAAAGTTTCCTGGTCAGGCATCACTGGATTCACTGGGTTGACATGGAGGATTTAGTGTTGTTTTGGCACATTAGCAACTGATGGCATGATAGCATATGGAGCATTTGATACGTTTGAGAAATGACTTAAAACGCTGTAGTTCCTGTGTTCTGCAGTGCATGGGATGAAACTTTTTCCCCTTGTAGGTACAAGTCACATTAAGTTTTGGCCTCTTCCCATGTAGTTAAATCATCTAAATGACGTGCCTTTAATATATACTTGCATGATCAACGTATGCATATCCTTACATTCAAGCATTCAAACTCTGAGAAAGATGGTCATGAATTCAGGTATAATAATCCTGCATATTTTAATTCATTTAAAAATGGTCAACTAAATGGAAAGCAGTCTTGTTACTAAATCTTTACTGAAGTGTTTTATAAATAATGTATCGCTACATAATATGTAATACAAAATAAACAAAAGGGTTGCTTTCCTAATACTTTTTTGTGGCTTATGAGCAAGTGGAGGTCTTCTGTTCATTTGTTTCCAGATGGGATGATCTAATACTTTTGTTTACAAAGATGTGTTCAGAAAGCAAATGCCTTATTATTACTTGTTCCTGTGTGTATTTGTTCTGCCATCTTAAAAACCCTTTCTGGGTTTAGAAGTCATGTAAACAAGCGGTGGAAACAATAATGGACTTTATACATTTTTGTAATATTATAACATCTAGAATTTCTTGCCATGGAGCAGGATCCCATTGTGCTGGGCATTGTACAGACACAGAACAACACAATTAGCTTCTGTCTGCAAGAGGCAAGGCAATTTAAATGGAAAACAAGACTGTAAGTAGGTCTGAAGTGACAGATAGGGAGGGGCAGGGAGACGCAAGAGAACAATATGATGCTATTGATGGACTACTTTCTCAGCAGACTCATCACTCTTGATGTAGGTCAGAAGGACCTGGATGTGAATATGAAGCTTTGGAAAGGTTATTTATCTCTTATTAAAAGCATGGGACTAACATAGTTTAAAACATAACTACAGGACAGGAGCCTGTACAAATTATTCTATCGTAATGTATTTCCAGTGCATATAAATATGAGGCCAAAACAGGGCTGCTGATGTGCTTGATTCCATGGGCATGCATCCAGCAGGAGAGGCATAGCTGGCCTCTACTGGTTAAAATACAAATTAAATACTCCACAAGTATAACTGTGAGGAGCAAAATGCTTTGGCAAACCTGTCATGTACATTTTAAGTCTCTGACATGGGTTTTGGTATCAGATGCCTAATCTTACAAGCAAGGTCAAGACTTTCGAATGGTGCTTTTACTTAAGCACCAGGGAGATTCTAGACTTAAAACTTGTCTGACAGCTTTGATGACAATGCTGGAGGTGAGCAATGTTAGATCTGTGTCCTCTGCAGCTACTTGCCTTTTGTGGTGCTGCTTGCCAACAAACTTTAATTGAATCGCGTTCCCAAGGCAGCAAATTGGGAACATCATTGTGCCCTTTTTATAGGCGAGGTTCCAAGCATTGACATGTTTTAAAAGTCTGAAATCTCCATCAGCGTATTTATGGGGAAATTTGGCTGAGCCAAGTCTAAACCATACATAAGGTATTAATGCTCTCAGTTAGGCAACATTAAAAATCCTTTGCACAAAACTTCCTGGTCTGATTTAAAATCCATTTGCTAAGTTGTGTGGGAAAGCTGCTGTCCTCTATTGTTAGCATCAGCTGCATGGAACAGGTTCCTGAAGCTGTGGCTGGCCCCTCTCTCAGGTTGCTGGGTTCAGAGCAGATTGAAATGCGACTCAAGCAAAATTTGAGTTTGGACGAGTTTTGTGTTTTTGGGGAAATCCAAATTCACAGTGAAACTCAGTGGACTACAAACTAAAGCCTTGATCCTTCAGCGGTGCACACATACACACTCCCGTTTGAAGCCAATATGTGCATAAATGTAATCTCTTGGCTTGATCTTGCAAGGTGCTGTATGTTCTGGTCCTGATACCAGAAAGCGCTTAAGCACATGCTTAACTTAAAGCATAGGTGTAATTCCAGTGGGCCTACTCCACGTGACTATGTGCTTCGCAAGGTCAAGTACTGGGCCCTCAACACCTTGCAGGACCAAGCCCGAGGAGATGGTATGAAAATGGGGTGGGACAGAAGAGGAAATATATGTGAACCCTTTGCCAAACTGATCATGCCTAGCTGCACAGCTGTGATCTTACCACATGTTTAATGAGGCCACTGAAAACATAACGGTCCTTATTCTCCTCTCACTTGTACAGGTGTAAAGCCAGGGCAATGCCATTGAGTTTTACCAGAGAGTACACTACCAGCACAGCGTCAGGTCCTAGAGTCTGATCATCCAGTGCAGTCGTGGCTTCCCTCATGTCTTATGGTTAGTGCTTGGGGAGTCTGTCATGGGGCAAGCGTAGATTAAATGGGTCCTAAATTCTAGCAGTGGGTTTTTAAAAAAACACTGCTTTAATTTAGGGCTGATTAAACACCTGTGTTGTGCACACACCCCGCTGATTTACCTACCTCTCTGGTGGGGAGGGGAGGGCAAGCTGCCAGCGGGTGGAGCTGTCCCTGGGGGCAGGGGCTGGTGCTTCCCTCTGCAGCAGCAGTGCCCCCTCCCTAGCGGCACTCGCCTACAGGCATCTGGCTCGGGCAGTCCTGGGTGGCACCGCAACTGCAGAGGGAATCACCGGGCCCCCACACAGCTCGGGCATGCAGGCAGGCTCCAGGATGCGGGAGCAAGATCAGGCTCGCCGCTTTTCTTGGGCAGAGCTGCTTTCCCAGGCTGCTACCAGGCTGCCTGCATGGGCTTCCTGCAGAGCCACGGAGCTGCACGGAGCCCAGTGCTTCGCTCCGCAGCTGTAGGGGCAGCAAACTAAAACTCTTTGGAGGAATCATTTTAAGGCACATGATGCCACTGAATTTCCTACAGCAACTGGAATTAATGTGCAATATGCCACTGAGGCGTGCAAACACCGGCATCATTAAAGCGGTGCCAAAGCATTTAGCCCACTTTAAAGTGTCGTGCGGACATGCCCCTTGTTTCTTCTACACATGCTGTTTAGTTCTAGTCCTCACTCTAACTCATTCGGTTTGTTTCAGTGCTGCTTAAATGTTACCTGTCTGCAGTGGAAATAGGGCTGGAAGGCCCTTCAAGAGGCTGTCTAATCCAGTCCCCTGCTGCAGGTGGGCTTGTCCCTATCTAAACCGTCCCGTCCAAGTCTTTGTCTAATCTGCTCTGAACTTCCAACGGCGTAGATCCCACAGTCTCTCTAAACTGTTTCAGAGCGTAACCACGCTCATAGATTGGATATAAGGAAGATCTTTCTCAGTAAATCTCTCTTGTTGCAATTCAGAGCTGCTATTTCTTGTCCTGCACGGCCACAGAAAATTAATTTATTGCCACCTCCTTATAACCACCTTATAAATCTCTTCTCCGTCTTTTCTCCAGACTAAATAATCTCAGTTCTTTCAGTTTTTCCTCATAAATCACATTTCCTAGACCCCTGATCCTTTTTTGTTGCTGGGCTCATTCCAGTTGGTTGGTGACAGTAGCAACTCCATCACAAAGCTGCAAAGCTTTGTTTGTTCAAGTTAACGAGCATTTGTATCATTTGCTGAAAGATGCGATGGTGGGATGAAGAGCTCTGATTGCCTATTGCTGCTGGGGCATTCCCAGCACTTCTATCACTGCTTTTTCAGCTTCTGCTGCAGACTATTCAGACTGGTCCATTTAGCTTCTCTTCTTCTCTCCTCCCCATTTTTTTCCCCATTTTAAAATGCTGGGTAAGGCTTGAACACCTTCTATTTTTCCAGTGGCCTTGAGATAGAGCAGAACAGTGCAGTGCGGTGGAGTTTCCTTTGTCAAGACAAGTTACAGTGGTCATCATCTCGGGTATTAATTCGTGTCAATTAGTGTTAGCAAAGACCATAGTTCTCTACATACCCGCTCTAGTAAAGGCAGCTTTCAGGATTCTCATCTCGTCTTTCTCAGCAAGTCAGCATTTACTTTCTGGTTATTCTCCAGCTCTTTCCAAGCCTCCTCACATAACACCGTGTAAACAAGGAACATCTTGATATCTGAAAATCAAATGTTTTTCTGGTTGCCAGCAACAATTGCTCCAGGAAGAGGCAAGTGCTGGATTGGGCCAGGGCCTGTAGAAAAAGGTCTAGGAGTATGTGCAGTGTTTCCAGCATCTTGTGAAATGGGAGCAGGAACATTTTTAAATTCAGTCTTGTGCCCCACCCAGTCCCAAGATGCTACCTCCCACATGGGCTCATGAGATGTTACAACACTACTGGGCTGGCTGCATTTCATGTCTTCATATTGATTGCTAAGCAGCAACATGGCTTCAGTTCATGGTGGCTTATGGTAGAGGTGCTCAACCCCCAGGCCCACAGGCCAAATCTAGCCCATGAAGCCATTGCATCTGGCCATGGGTCGGGAAATTTGATGGCAAGGGGGAGCAGTTGCTACCTTCCCCACAGCTGCCAAATTTCCAGGCCCCATGTGGCCAGATCAAGCCCTAGCTACACTCACTTTACACACCAGATCAGGACTGCTGTCCAGATCCAGCATGCAGATGGACCTGGCACTGCCCATCTGGCCTGGGGTATGGGAGAGCAGAAAGGTTGGGCACTGTTTGTCTGTGGGCACTGTTTAATTTTTTTCCATCCATATAATAAGCTTTGTTTTGAAACTTTAGATCAGTAAACCAAAACCACTGCCTCCTCCCTAATTTTTTGTGAAATTTGTTTTGCAGCCACTAGTAAGTACCACACAGCTGCCACCAGACCTGACAGCACATCTCAGCCAAATACTGGCAAACCTGGCCAGAGCTTCAGATTTACAGTGTAAAAAAATCTATGCAATGGAACGTGTTGGGCAGCTTTATTAATAGGTGATCCTACCAACCTATAGTGTTCATGTGTAAATTGGACACTGAATGGCTATTTGCTACGTATATTCATTTTGCCAACGTTGTCCTGGAGTGAGCCAGTCAGATGAGAGAGAATGCTGTAGATAATCACAATTGAGAAATGTCTATCCTATAATAATTTAGAGATTATGTAAAGCCCTGTGCTTTGGTTAATGACTTGTCTGCTACCTAAATATCAAAATTTGCATATTAAATGATTATTAAAATATGCAGACAGTAACTAAAAGATACCCACAGAGTAAAGGATAAGGATAACTTTGTATATTTATGTGCAGGCTGTATTCGCTGCCACAGTTGTATTTAATGATGACAATTGCAAATGCAGAATAACCGCTTGTTCTTATGTCATTTCATTTCAATTTTGTAGTTGGCGATTTATATTTTATCTCTCATCATCCATTGCTGGATTTATATTTCTATATGATGTAAGTTTAATTTATTTATTTGGGGGATATTTTCTGTTCTAATGCATTTTTTTATTGTTTTGTTTGCTTGCATACAAAATAAAGGCCTTTTTTCAAAAGCTTTTAAAGTCCGTGGGAAGACTCTTATTGACTTCAGCTAGTCTTGGATACAGACTGCAATGATAATTTACAGTGTTGTAATCTAAATGACAGCTTACTGTGCTCACCCAGATTTTGTTTTAAATTTGAGATTTTTTTTTCTCAATACATTGTTGGAAATGCTGAATACACGTAAAGATGCAAAGTTTTTCAGAACTTGTTTGTCAGGCAACATCAACATTATGAAAATTATAAAAATGTTACCCAATTACAATCTGTTTTTCTAATTTGTACCCATAAAGGAACACATCATGTGAGACTGTTTTTCCTAATAAAAAATCTGGAGGCTTTATAGGCTTTGTGTGACTGCAATATAATCCTAAAGCAGTTCACTATTTTCGCGTGATTGGCCTGGTTACTTCCAGCTTCCAACATCCCAGCAATATGTGGAGTAAAATTCTGTGGAGTGAAGGATTTTTCCCTTGTAACTACTGAAACACCTAACTGGTGTTCAGAATGAGGAGGAAAGACTGATGAACATAGATGCAGTCAAATCTGTTCTCTTGCTCCGAATGAACGCTATTGGCACCTTTCATCAGGCTGAACCCTGAGACTGAAAATGTTTACCAGGTACAAAAAAAGCTTGAATCATCATAGCAGTGCACTTTGAGCAACTGCAGTAATGGAAAGACTACACCCAAAAACTTTGATTGATATGGAAAAGTGAAATGTTTAGGTGTCCCAAGATGTTGCCAACACACCATGAGTAGCTCATTAAACCTGAAAGATAGGATCGTTTTAGGGGGAGGGTTGATATGGAAGAAATGTAGTGTAAGACTGCAGTCGAAAAACCTGTTTCACCCTGTAGCATCATTTTTTGCAATATAGGGGCTTTTAAGGTGAGGACATGAACTAGTGCTCAGTTGTTCATTTTTTTGTCTGGTTCTTTTCCCCAGAAACCTTGGTTTTATGACATCTGGCAAACATGGGTCAACTACCCATATCAGGTAATCACTGATCAACTTAGTATTCTTGCTACTTACCATGGAAGAAATAGTCTGCAGAAGTATCTCCTTCTCCACTAAGCTGTTCCAGAGAAGGCCAGACGGAAACATTGTGTTACAGACTCTAGCACACAGCCAAATGCTGCTCAGAGCTCTGCTTTGGGCAGCTTATTCTGCAATTCAGACCTCCCCAGCATGTTGCCTTTCATCTAGGCCTGTGTGAAGCAGCTAGTATTTGCTTCGGATTCAGCGGATTCAGGGGACAGTGACTCGATTCGGTGATCCGAATCACTGTCCCAAATCGATTCGGCTGAATTTGATTCGGAGAGTCAGCTGCTGCCGAATCTCCAAATTGCCCAGGCCCATCCCCCACTTGCTTTCCTAGCCCCGGCAATGGCTGCCCCACCTGCCCCAGCTCCTGGCACTTTGGGGAAAAAAAGCCCCTACTCACCAGGTAGTGTGTGTGTGTGGGGCGGGGGGGGGCAGTGATCCCTGCTGCCCCCCCCACTGCCCTGTGCTCTTTGGGGGGGCTCTGCCATGAGCCCCCTAATTTCCCCCCTGCTCTCCCAGTCTCCCCGCTTGCCCCAGTTCTGCCCTTTAAAGAAAAAAAAGAAAAAAAACAAAGCCCCAACTCACCAGCTGATGTACAGCAGGGGCAAGGGGCGATTCCTGCTGCCCCTCATTGCCCCTAGAAGCCATGAGGCCACTGCAGGAGATGGGGGAGGGGATGTTTTTTTGTTTTTTTCTTAAAGGGCCAGGAGCTGGGATGAGCAGGGCAGCAATAGGGAGGCTAGGAGAGCAGGTGGGGGTCAGGGAGCTTGTAACAGAGCCCTCCATGCAGTGTGGGGCAGTGGGGATCGCCCCCCTGCCTGGCAGCACCTGGTGAGTGGGGGGCTTTTTTTTAAAGTGCTGGGAGCTGGGGCCGGATGGGGCAGCTGTGGGGGAGCAGGCAGGAGATGGGGCCTGGCAGGGGTCCCCCATGGTCCCCTCCCCTGCCCCCTACTTACCAGCTCCCTGCTGCAACAGGCGGGGACTGCCCAAATCACTGAAGCTCTCCAAATCTTTTCCGAATTGGTCTGGAGAGCTTCGAATCGATTCGGACCTTTTAATTGGTCCCCTAATTCTGTTCGGATTCAGAGATTCGGCCACTGAACTGGTCCGAATCTCCTCTGAATCGAATTGGCACCTGAAGCTTTGCACAGCCCTACTCCCATCCTACCCCTTTCACAATGCCAGTTGTCTACAGGATTCGAACATGTGTAGGAATAAAGTCCCAGGCAAATACCATCCTGCCCATGACTTTTCCTGATCACCATGTCTGAACTTCTCTCCAGTTTCTGTCTCCTTTCGGAGAAAAAAGACTCTGAGTTTCTTCTGGGTTCCCGCAATAATAATCCCTTTCCAGTAAACTAAAATAAATAAATAAATAAATAAATAAAATTAAAGCCTTGGCTATGGTATCTGCTGCCTACCTCTGGCTACAGTTACTAGTCCCTCCTGGACAAGCCTTCAGGCTCCTTTAATTTCTGGCAGTGTTATCACCCACTAGCCTACTTCCCTGGGCCTTTTTCAAAGAGGAGAGAAGGTCAAAGCCTACCCATTGCTTACAGCTAAACTCTATCCTTAATTGGGATTCTCCCATCTGAGCTTTTTCAGTCCCTTTTTAAAGGGGCCTTGAAATGTCTTCAGGTAAGCATGCGGACAAGGTGATCCAAGCAGGAGCAATCTCGGGAACAACTGGGTGTTTAGGCTCCCATTAACCTCTCCCCAGCCCTTTTGGGGTTTGTTTCACCTTTTGGCTGCATGCCTAAGATTTTAATATAAATTAAGCTGCTTAAGATTCAGTTATCAAGTTCATGGTTGCACTGAAATGTTACACTGAAATGTCAATAAAAATAACAGACTTCATTTATTTCCATAGGTTTGTGAGAAAATGCTGGTGACCTTTGCAAATGAAGGGGCGCATCTACACATGCAATTAACACACAGCAATAAACTCCAGTGCAGTTCATGCCAGAGTTTATTGCTCCTGGGCATAGCGCTTTAACATGTGCCCGGGACCGCAGCATGTTGAGCCAGGGCAGAGCAGCCTCAGCTGGCAGGGGGCCCCAGGAATCAGCCTGCCAGCCCAGGGCTGCTCTGCCTCAGCACAACATGCTGCAGAGGGGCTGGCTGGGGCACAAGGACTTCAGCATGGGGCCAGCCAACAGGCAGCCCCCTCACTGAAGCACCCTCATGCCCGAGCCAGCCCCATCAGCATCTGCATGTGCGTTGCTGCAGAGTAAATAACTCCATGGTAGGGTAGTACTTGTGTTTCCAAGTACTAACCTACAGTGGAGTTAATTAGTTGGCTCCATCCTAATAGCACTGTCTGTATAGATGCTGAGATATTTACTGCCGAGCTAATTAGGTAACTGCAGTAAACACCTTGTGCAGATGGGTCCAGGGTGAGATAAAAGGTAGGCCAGATGTTTCTGGTAGGCCAGCAGAAGGGGTGAAGGAGTATAATTGAAGGACTTGTAAGTTTTACCTCAAAGCTTGAAAGATTTGACTTGCAGGCTGTTTCACACTTCAGGGAAGGACAGAGAAGACATTCAGGCTCTTGGGGACAGCAGTAGTAGTTTAAGAACGAAAGTCATTTTACTTTGCCACTTACCTTTTGCTGTGTGTTCTAGAGTAATAATGGTTATTTTCTTCTTTGTAGTCCTTGCTGCCATCCCAGTATTGGTACTATATGGTTGAGATAAGTTTTTACTGTTCACTGTTGTGTACCCTTGGTGTGGACAACAAAAGGAAGGCAAGTATGTATGATTGTGAGCTATAATCTCTGGTTCTTTTAGGATTTCAGTACCTTCAGTTAAGGAAAAACACTGTACTGGCAAGCAGTTGGGCGCTAAAGTAGTCAGAGCTTAATTGTTCAAGTTGGAAACTATTTATTGAAAATAGCAAGTAGTTGATGGGCTCACCCCATCCACTTCCTCCACTCCGATGATGATGGGGTGTGTGTGGGGGGCATATAACCACAATAATCTGCATGTATAGCTTGGAATAAATCTCATCTCTATAATACTCTGTATGTACCCATAGCTAGGCTCTCGCACCTGTTTCTTCATGGGTGTTTATAGCAAGAAGCCTCTCTCTCCCCTATATTAAACCGCTGCTTATGGAAGTAAAGATATAATAATATAAATTGTGCACATATGGTCTGAAATCAGAATCTTGGTCCTTCTGCTTCAAAACTGCTCCTCGAGCTCTAGAAAATCTCCCCTACCTGCTAACGAGTGGCCCTACCATCTCTCCATGGGTCAGCCACGAGAGGGCAGCATCACTCCATTGCTTGCACTCGCAAAGCAAGTCCATTATAGGCCCACACGCTCCCGGTGTGACCTCCAGCCTTGCAGCCACAACTCTGTTTTCCTTTTTTTTAAATGTCTGTTTTGACAGGAGAGGGGTGGCTGCATTTGTTGTTGTTTTGCTCCTAAGTCAGACGTCTTTATTTGATTAATAGGATTTTATAGCCCATGTCATTCACCATCTGGCTGCCATTGGTTTGATGGGCTTCTCATGGTGTGCCAATTACGTTCGTATGGGGACGCTGGTGATGATTGTACATGATATTGCAGACTTCTGGCTCGAGGTAAGTGTACACTTATTGTGCATTGCCCAGGTTGTATTCAGTAAGGGGGTTTTTAGAAATCTTTGCTGTCATCTCTGCAGATTCCCTTTCTATCAGAATCTAGAGGAGACCTGTTTTCATAAATTCATAGACTAGGCATCATCTCATCTGACATCTTGTCAGGAAATTATTCAGACATATGAAAACGGGTGAGAAGAGAAGTTCTGCAATATGAACCTGGAACTAGAAATTCAGCGTGTCCCTTGCTTAGCATTTGCTTTTTTTTGTGGGCCATTTTGGAGTGACAAGCAAATTGCAAGAGCTTTAGTCTGGCTTGGCATGCAAGAGCATAGGTCCAGGCTCTTTTTGTTTTTCCAGCATTTGCAGCTGAGGAAGGCTGAACATTTAAAGCCCTGTCCATGTGGCTTGCCCTGCTGAGCATGTTGTACAAGAGGAAGCTTCTCCTAGAGCACAGTCGCATGCAAAGTGGGTCTTACCTCTGTGGACTCTCTGGGTTTATGCCGTCATGACTGAGATTTGAATGCAGCATTCGAAGTCTTGTCCATGATGGGAACAGTCATGATTCGGTCCTGAGTGGTTAACAGCTGATGCTGCTCTATCAGTGTTGTTTCCTGAGTGTAGAGAATGAGCAGTCTACGGCTGCTTGTACGCGCCATGGGGGTTTACTTCAGTTTAATTCTCCCTAAATTGAAGCAGTGGGTTTTTTTTAAAACACTGCTTCAATTTAGGAAGAATTAAACCGTAGTAAACCCCTGTGGTGTGTACACAAGGGTCAGACCCAATCCTTACCTGCCTCTCCAGTGGGGCGGGGTGGGGAGGGCAAGCTGCCGGCAGACTGAATGATCCCTGAGCTGCAGGGGGGCTGGTACTTCCTTCTGCAGCAGCGGCAGCACCCATCCTCGGGCACCTGCCCCCCCACCCCCCCAGCCGCAGAGGAAAGCACTGGGCCCCCATACAACTCAGGCAGGCTGCAGGGAGAGAAAAAAAAGAACAGGCTCACAGCTTTTTTTTCCCCTTTAGTGGAGCCTGCCTGCATGGGCTGCCTGCATGGACTGCCTGTGCAGCCCATGAGCTGCATGGGGCTCAGTGCTTCCCTCCGCAGCTGTAAGGTAGCAAACTGAAACACCTCGGAGGTGTTTTATTTTGCTACATCCCAAAGTCATTTAACGTGCAATACACTGCTGACAGTGTAAACAGCAATGCCATTAAAGTGGTGCAAAAGGGCATTTAAGCTGCTTTGAAGGCCAATTTTGTGGCGTGTACAAAGGCTGTATAGAGTTTAGTCATGACCGGAGAAGACTGCAGTTGACGACCACTGCACTGGCCACCCCTGCAAAGATTGAGCCAGGGATTTCCAGGGCTAAAAACACGAAAGGGTAATGGAGACCTGTTCTCTGTGGATTACATTAGCTGCCTTCCCTCTGCGTCTGAGGGGGCAGCACTGGTGCAGCCATGCCAAATGCTGGCTAATTATGAATAACTTTGGGATGATCCTGAGAGCATGGGCATACAGACAAGTTACCATGAGATAACCTAGAATAGAAACAAATAGCACAATTTCTTTGCAGTAACTGCCAGGATGCACACTCTTCTGTTGCGGTAAGTGCAAGGTAGCTTATCCCTTAAGGAAAGTGGGATAAGCTTGCATTTCCCCCAGGGTAAATGTGTGCACAGAGGCCGTTATCACAGGTTCACATCTTAGCTTACCTCATCTTACTTTTTTCTCATGCCCATAGCTTGATTGTGCAGGCAGGGCCCACAGCTCTTCTGTTATCTTTCTCTGCAGCCTCTTTGAACCTGTTGCAAGTCTAAGGAAAGGAATTCTTGGACTACATTGTGAACCATTAACTTTGTTTCCTAATCAGAGAGGTTTTTTTTTAGGTCTTTGACACAAATTCCTTTCTTTGAGATGAAAGGAGCTACATAGACACAGATAATATTTTGTTCCCATTTTATTTAAATGATATTAAAATGGTTGGTATGTTTGTCCGGAGTGGGGAGGGGGAGTTATCTCTAACCTAGATGTCAGCCACACTTATGAGAATGTAAAGAGGAACTATTTCAAAAGCTTGAGATTTGTTTTATATGTGGGGTTGATTTTTGTTTTCAATATAGGCAGCCAAAATGTTTAATTATGCCCGGTGGGAGAAAACCTGCAATGTCCTCTTCGTCATCTTTTCTGTGACGTTTTTTATCACACGAATCATCCTTTTCCCCCTTTGGTAAGTAATACTTGTTTTAGTTGCACTTCTCAGGTCATTCTCTTTCCACCAAAAAGTTGGTTGAAGTTTGAATGAAAAATAGGAAGGAACCCACTGTTATATGGATTCAGGAGCCAACTGTTACTACCAGCTAGAGATTTGGTAGGATAAAAATAGTGATTGGTTTTTGTTGTTTAAATCATAATTTTTAGCTTCAAGTAAATCCACTCTTTAAAATTATACCCAATTAAATCTGAAATAATGACCATCTGAGTGACGGCTTAGAGTTACTTAAAGATGTTACAATAATTTAAATGTAATATTATTTAGAAGTATGTATTTTCTGCTGAAAAGTTAGTGTGTCAGAATAAGGTGGGGTTGCTGTCACTTGGGCATTTTGGTGATATCTCTTGTTTGGACTAATTGTATAGTTGGGAAAGATTTTTAGACAAGCTTTTGGCATGAGGCTATAACAACCCTACTATACGAAACCCCACATACGGAAATAATAGAACATTTCTAAACCTTTTCAAACCATTTTCATTCAAAGCTAAAATTCCTTGGCTTCTAAACTGTCTTTTAATAGCAAGATGCATATTTCAGTAGAGCTGAGATCTGTTGATGAAATTCCTAGTCTCTTCAGAGGTTTTTTTGTGTATGTTCAGGAAATAGCCAGGTGATTTAGCTAACTGACTGAGAATGAAAAATTATAAATAGAACAGCTGGTACTTGGAGTGGGTTCCTCTTTCATAGCAATGCTATT